TTCTGTCTCAAGATCTGTCCGAGAGGAACCTAGAGCTGACATACATGCAGGTGCGCTCGATCCAAGACCTCGATATTTTCGGAATGGAGAAGACGACGTATGCAGCCACCAACCCCCCCCCCCAAAAGCCAAACCCAAATCCAAATCAAATAGCCAGAGTGCCACAGCCAGACCCTGAGCCAGAACCAGAACCAGAGCCAGACTTCCTACCCCCGACCCCGAGTCGCGCTGCTTCTTCCTCCTGTCTCTCGTCTTTCCACCCTTCCCATTTTCCTTTCAAGTCCCACTCCCTCACCTGCAACTGCCTTTGGTGATCCATCCCGTCACTTTTCCGCCTTCTTCAACATCTAACCCTCGCATCAATCCTCCCCCTCCAATCCAAATCCGCCACAGCCTCTGTCGCTGCCACGTCTTTCGACTCTTTTTTCTTCATTTGTACCAAGTCATTTCACCACCGTCGTCATCACCGGTCGCGCATCCTGCCATCTGTTGCGCGCCTCCTCCGTCCACTTCCAGCCTTTCTCGTGTCCATCCAACTGAAGGCTCCTCGTGCCCCTGCGCCCTACTACTGAACCCGACACGACTTTCCCGCCAGCCGCCTTTTTAGCGCACCGCGTAACCACGTCCACGCTCTGCGACTTCCACCTCCAACCAGAAAGGTGGCTGACCGACAAACTTTTGACGGCATCGACACTCTCTCTTCGCTTCCGACCAGCCACCATCACTCAATCAACCTCTCCTTCATCCATCGCATCGACTTCACCCAATCCTGCTGGGCAGACGCTTGTCTGCAGCCCGGCTCACAATCATGAACACCAACAATCCCAATATGGCCAACATGAACGCCATGGGCGGCGGCCCTGTTGGCGCTCCCGTACCCATGATGAATAATGGCGCAGTTGCTCCCCAAGTCGCCGGCGGTCCACGACAAATGACCATGCCCACTGAGAGCCAGCGCACCTTGCTCAACACCTATATCTACGAGTATTTCCTCCGCCATCAAATGTTTGATTGCGCTAGATCCCTCCTCAACGGAGAACACCAAGTCAACGTCATGAAGGATGGCTCCAACCGGCGGAGGGACGAGAATGGCAATCTCATCGGCAATGGACTCGGTGATGACCCCATGGACACCGACTCCAAAGATGACATCGACGCGAAGCTACCTGAAGACCTTCCCGCCCCCAAGTTGCCCATGCCCGCCTCAGAATCATCATTCCTATATGAATGGTTCTGCCTATTCTGGGACATTTTCCACGCGCAACGAGCAAAGGGTGGTAATGGTCCTGTCAACCAATATGTCAGCCATACTCAGGTATGTCCTTGCAAATCTGCGCGATTCATTTGTCACTTTAACCACTGCTAATCGAGCCCTACAGCAGCAATCCCGCATGCGGCAAAACCAGCAGCAGGAGCTTCTCCGCCAGATGCGCCCCGATGGCATTGCTGCCCAACAGCAATATCATTCCCAGATGATGCGCAACATGCAAAATGGCCATGCTGGCGGCATGGCCATGAACATGCAAAAGGGCAACCTGGCAAGGGCGGCCATGGCGAACAACCAAAACAAGTAAGAACCAAAGTTTTTGTACTCTGCTTCACCATGGGCATGTTTGCTAACCTAAACCCCGCTGCAGTCCCCAGGCCATGCAAATGCTTCAGCATGCGAAGCAAACCCAGATGCAGCGAGACCCTTCGGACATGGATGGCAACCGCCAGCGCCCCTCATCGCCTGGCTCTGGTGAAAACGCCCCTTCGCCATCCAAGAGACCTCGCCTAGACGGGGCGCCCAACTTCCCGAATCAGCCCGGAATGATGCCGAACGGAAGACCGCAGCAGGGCATGCCGGGCCAGCAGATGGGGACAACCCCAAACGTAGCTCAAGCCCAGCAGATGCTCATAACCAACGGAATCAATCCGGCATCGCTGACCCAGCAGCAGTTTACGACATTCTCAAACCAACCACCTGCCGTCCAAGCTAAGTCCATTGCCACATATGCGGCAAACCTCCAACAGCATCAAGCTAGCCAGATGCCTAACAAACCTATCCCTAACGCGTCCGGTCCCCAGGGTCAGGGCTCACCCATGATGGCTCAAGGCTCCGAAGGGGCTGGCCTAGCTGCGTACTACAATGCTGGGGAGATGGGTCCAGGAGGAATTCGGCCTGGCCCAGGCGGTGCCCAAGCCGGCGGTGGAAGTAACCACGCTCTGCAGGACTATCAAATGCAGCTAATGCTTCTGGAGCAGCAGAACAAGAAAAGACTTATGATGGCTCGACAGGAGCAAGACAACATGGGTGGCGGCGCCATGCCCAGAGACGGTCCAGCTGGGCCTGGCGGCCCCGGCGCACCCCCTGGCCCAAATGGTCAGCCATTTCCAGAAACGTCGCCCCAAGGCGCCAGAACCGGAGCTTCACCAAACCCAACGGAGCAGATGAAGAGAGGCACGCCGCAGATGAACAACGCTGGCATTCCGTCACCGCTGCCAGAGGGCGCACAATCGCGCGGTTCCCCCAATCCCATGAACTTCATGGGCAACCAAATGGACCCGAATATGGCGCCACACTTCTTCAAGGGCATGGGTAACCAGATGGATGGCAACATGGCTGGCAATCAGCAGATGAATGGCGGCATGCGCCCGCCCAGCTCGCACCCTGGTCAGCAGTTCAACGGCCAGATGAACCCTCAACAGATGATGGTCGCCCGGCAACAGCAACAGGCGCAACAGCAGCAGCAAGCCCAACAGCAGCAGCAGCAGCCACCTCAGCAGCAGCAACAGCCTCAGCAGGCTGGTCAAGGGGGTCAGCCAGTGCAATGGCAACAAGGCGGCCCGAATGGACAGATGGTGCCACAGGGTCCTCAGGGATCGGTTCAGGGTACACCACAGCAACGGTCGATGCCACCGCCGTCCGCACCAGCTGGCGCCAACTCCAACCGGACAAGCACTTCCTCACCTCAACAAGTGACAGCGGCACCCCCAACTCCGTCACAGTCCAACAAGGCGGCCCCGAAGAAGAAGGATAACAAGAACGCAAAGACAAAGGTGAGTACATCGCAAGGAACATGTCATCAAATCAAGACTAACTCGAGTGCAGGCTGCGACGCAAAAGAAGTCCAACAACAACCTGAACAGCGGAACCACACCAGCCGCTGACAGTGCGCAAGACGCCGAGGCGGCAACGCCGGCCACTCCCATCACCCCTGTCAACCCTGCCAGCTTCACCAAGAATGGTCAAAACGCCGCCGTGCCCGCCGTACCCAATGGCCAGGCTGCTGCTCCCGCACCCGCCCCTCAACCTCAGGTGGCCCCTCAGGCGCACAACGATACCAACCAAAACGGAGGATTCATGGACAACTCCAACCCGATGGTGGACTTCGGCGCTATGGCTTTCGCTGACCCATTGGTCTCGGACAACGTTCTCAACGATTTCGACTTTGATTCGTTTCTGCACGAAGATGGCGATAATCAGGCCTTTGATTTCAATACGGGGTCGTTCGGCATGGAGGGTGCCAATGAAATTGGCGCAGATTAGGCGGTTCCCGAGTCTGGCTCTTACAGGCATACAACTCGTCTCGTTTGCACCAGCCCAAGTCGTGCGTTAGGCGTTGTTCTAATGCCACCGGGTTGATTTCTCCATGCCTCCGCGTTGGTGCAGTCGAGCAGCATGGCATTTGCGAAGCATGATTATCTCCAATTGAATTACGAACGCGCTCAAAATACCAAGAGGGGGGGCCTTGAATGGTCTCGAATACATCAAATCAGACTGGGCTCGCATCGACTGTACGCATATTACCAACTGTCACTGTCTGCAAGATTCGCTCGGCAACTGCAGTCAAGGTATAGCCGTCAGCCCTAGCTCTCGCCGCCTCATTGGGCCTGCTACTTTCCTATTTCCTACGCTTTGATTTACCAATCGCTTTTTGGACGATGTTGTGCGAGGCAAAGACTTGACGGATTGCCTCATTAGCGGCATACTCCCAAGAGTCTTGTCGTCGTTCACTACAGCCTCGTTTTCGACGGCGACTTAATTCCCCTGCGTGCATCTGCCTGGGGTAACACGCATACAAACTTCACGTTGCTTTTCCCCGAATCGGTCGTTGGTGGACCGGCCGCTTGTGTGAGGGTCCTTGGTCATTGGTTCTGGAGTTCTACTGGCAGGGTCGCAAGTTTTTGTCTGGTGCCTTTCCTATCGAAACAGTGGGCGTAATCATTGATTGTACGTGGCATACGATGTGCGAATGCTGAACCCGGATTCGTTTGGTAAACCCATCAGTGTTGATTTGCAAAAGAGAAGAGAGTCCAAAAGGGGGCAGTTGTACTGGTTGTTGATCAAATGGAGAGAGCATTGTATTTACTAGAAGGTCAGGGACACACGTTCGACCATCAGCGTCGTCTAGCCATCGTCTTCTACCGTAGGTCCTGTCAGATTATGCTGTGGCGTGGTGCGGTATTGGTTTACGAGGATCAATCCATCTTTTTCATATCCTGACCTGCTGCCAAGCATAACAATAACAGTTCCAATCTGGCACCCTAATGATGTATCTGAAAAATTTGATCGGCACGGATACGGTCATGGTCACTACGTTCTCTCCGAAACAGTATCAGAGGAAGGCAAGTCTATGGACCGTGCATTCCCAGCGGACGTGTCAAGAAGCCGGACTTTACGAGACTCGAATCTTCCTTTATCCCCCGGGGATATACTGCCCACGACAGCGTGTCGTCTGGCAATGATTAAGCTACGCGAGTGCACTCGCTAGGCCTTGACGTAAAGTCGTAGTACGGCTCAGAAGCCCCATCAAGGATATCATCTGCCCTGAGCTTCAATGCCGGGCAAGGGACTCCCCGCGCCGAGCTCCGAGGCACCGGGACCTGGTCACATATGTACATACGGTACAAGTGGTTCACTTTTTGATCGACACGGCAGGTACGGATAATGTCGGGGAATTGACGGGGGTGGGGCTTTCAAATATGCGCCAGTGGCCGGATTTGGCGGACGGAACAATGTCAATCTGCAACTGGTGCCATGCGGCGGGCCGCTTTCCCTGGGATGATCGGCCAACGCTGTGCCCTCGGCGGGAAAGTCTAACAATGAAGCTTCTTTACTCTGATCCAACAATAATATATCCTCTGCAGTATCCGTACACTGCAGCCTTCTAGTTAAAAAAAAAAAAAAAAAAAAAAAAAAAAAAAAAAAAAAAAACCTCCGCAGTAATCGGAAAATGAAGCCGTTTAAATAAAAAAAAAAAAAAAAAAAAAAAAAAAAAAAAAAAAAGGGGTGAATGTTAAAGCAGTTCATCACCTATGTAAATTTAGGCGTGCATTGAAAAAAGTCGCCTGGGATTCGTTTGAGGAATATTGTGCTTTACGTAAATACGTATATGTAGACTAGGCTCTATACATTGGCCGCGTATACGTATGATAAATATGACAACCCGGCTTTGCGTAGCACTTGCTGCTGGAGAAGTTGTATTTGATATTGGCACGTCATTGGGGATTTAATGGGCAACAAGTTTCCAATCCGCTCTCATGATTCATGGTATTGGTCTGGAGATTTGGGCACCGGGGGAAAAGCCCTGTGCCGAGTTCAACATTGTCTGTAGGTGGTAACACCCGTGAAGTCGCCACCCTGTATATGTCCAGATCCGCAGGCTCAAGAACATGTGTAGACGGGCGCTGAGCGTACGAATGTAAGGGCAGCCGCTTTATATCGCTTTCTAAAATAGGGTATATACTTATAGAGCAAGAAAAATCCTGTCTTACGAAAAGAGGAATATGCCAAAGAGCCATCAGCTTTTTGAATATGAGAAAACGGACGCCGGCTTTGGTGTCCTGTCTGGCGGCTGAAGTTGATAGCCCCACCGAGAGGCGTGAGCTTGGTGTCCGCGAGGCTGAGCCCAATAGGAATACAGCCATGAGAAGTAGCTGCGCTCAAGGCGACTGGTATACGGTGAGGTATCCAACCTCCATCATGCTACCGTAGCCATCCTGAGTAGCATCGGTAGGAGAACCCGGCAAGGTGCCACCTAAACATGGTTAGCATTCACGTACTTTATTTCAATGGGCAACCGGAACATCGAGAGCAAGAAACGCACCAACTGCCACGTTCATGAGCACATAGTAAGGCATGTGAGCAAGAGTTGCCCAGATACCTTCATCCCCAATATCGCTGCCCTTGAGCTGGTTGAAGACAGCACCGTCGCGGAACCATGTGATGGTCTCTGTGAGCCAGTCGTTCGATGTGCGGTCCCATTCCAGAGCCCAAGTGTGCCAACTGTTGTCGGGCATTGAAGTGGCTACACCACGGCCGCTAGGCTCGTTGCAGATGCCGCCGGATTTTTGCTGGCAGTGAACGGTACCCGTCGCGGTGGGCTGGCCGTTGATCTGTTCGAAGATGTCGAGCTCGCCGCAGAGAGGCCACTGGACCCCGTTTCGAACAGCATCGCCCAGCATCCAAAAGGCGGGCCACATGCCTTGCTTGTTCGCGTTGTCACCCATCCTGAACATTGACTGAACCCGCATCTTTCCTCCCGGCTGAGGTGTCCATGCTGCCTTTGTCTCAATGCGTGCAGAAGTCCAGACTCCGCTTGCTGATCTCCGGGGAATGAGCTGAATCGTTTCGCCGCCTGATATTTGGACGTTCCAGGACGATTCGGTGTAAGTCTGGACCTCGTTGTTCGTATCGATAGCCAAGGCAATATCCCAGGTGTCGCGTCGAGGGGGTGAGCCGGCGTTTCCTTGGAAAGTCTCTGACCAGATGATTCTCATGCCGTCTTGTGCTGGGGGCACAAGGGCACCAGCGAATGGCATGAGAGCAAAAAGAAGGTGGGCGATTTTGGAAAACATTTTGCTTATTTGCTATCGCTGACTGGCACCTGTCCCTGACTCGATAGTATGCTGAATGAATGAAGGGGTCTTGAAGCCCGCGATGATAATCTCGTCTATTTGCGAGCGTTTCAAGGAATGAAAGTGGATGGACGATGATATTCAAATCAATGTGATCACCAAGAAAGGAACGTAACGGCGCTTGGCCTAGTGAGTGAAAGTGAGTGCCGCAGAGAACGAGAGAGGCGTCGAAAGCACATCATGCCAACGGGTTGCGAGGCTAGGTCGACTCTATATATACGGCCAGGAGAAGTTCCTGCATGGGACGGTCTGAACAACGCACATCGGGAGGAGCAACTTTGTGTTGGGCAAAGGGGCAAGGTGACAAGGATAATATGTCGAGAGCAGGCGTCAATGGGTAGAGAGGAGCTTGTGCCATGCCCATGTTATCGTAATGGTTGTATTACGGTGGTTGGCCAGAGACGGCAAGGTAGAGAAAGAGATTAACGTGGGGAGTGAGGATGAAACGCCCAGAAGCGGCCAGGAATACCCAGTGTGGCGGTGACAATGGCCTGCCTACTTCGCAACTCGGCACAGTCTTCTCGGGTCGACTCTGGCTCAGGTAACAGTACAACAGTAGAGCCAAGAATGCCCTCAGAAGAGGCGCGGACAGGTCGTGGTCGCTAGTGGTCCTAGTGGATGGTACATTAGGGCAACAAAGGAAATATGGATACATGGCATAAAACAGGGGGTTGATGCCAGTATACGGATACTGTGGAACTACACAGTCGTGGAGGTGACTGGGGAGAGCAGTTCACGATGGGTAGTGGGCGTGGTCTCTGGGTAAAGCTAGGGAGTCAGAGAGTCCTGATCTGCGCCGGCCAAGATTGAGACCACGCGATGTTGACAAGGAAGCTGACTGTGTCCAAGGATAGGCTGGTAGATGCTTTCTATGGTGAGAGCAGACAAAGCTGAACAGAGAACGGGGCAATGGGGTTGGATCCTGAGAGTATCCGTAGACTCGTCGAGAGACGACGTCCTTCGCGTTCTCCATTCATCCACCCATATCAGTACGCATGGAATGCTGTGGGGACTCGGGACAGTTCGAGAGGCTGAGGTATAGTACGAATACGGATATAGACTTAGTCTCTTTTATGCACGCGTGATATTGGCATGGGAGAGAACAGGGGCCCGGGAGCATAGGTAGTCAAAAAGGGACGGGGCCCGTTGGCGGTGCATCCGGGCCAAGGATCGACGACCGATACTGCACTGACCAACGGGTGTCATTGGCGGTTCATCTGCACAGCGTCAGATACATAACCCTCAATTTGGGCGCCATATCCACCTTGCGCCGAAAAACATATAAAAACGTCCAGTCGGGAAGGACCAAAATTCTGAAAAGGAGGTGGGCTCGGGATATTCGCCCAAAGGTGCCGGGGTGTCGATCAGAAAACCTCGAAAGGGGAAGACTAGGGGTTTCGGAGAAGAGACAGGAGGGGTAACGAGAGCCGCGGTTTCCGTCAACCTACCCACCTTAAGTATTGTGGCATTTTCACGAATATGAACAAGGTAGCTGGCAAAGAGTTCGCTTCTTGCGTTTCTTCAAGCTCGTGGCGTGCAATGCCTTCCCTCCTCCAATCCTCTTATCCCGATTACCAGTGCCTCCCTCTCCGAACGAAGCCTCCATAAGATTTGCATTGCATGGGAGCATGGATGTTGTCATTGTCATGTTCTGCTGCTGCTTATGGCTGCGCTCCAGTGGTGCGGCAAGCGGGCCATTCTCCCCAAGATTTTAGATACAAGACGGGATCGTCAAGTGCCCCTGAATATTCGAAAGCTGCATATGAAGAGTGCAGGCACCGGGGCTGCACAGGCAGCGAGCGCAGCCTGAGCCCAGCAGTTGGACCGGCAATGCATGCTCTGAGACATCAAATGGCAGGGTCTCTTGACAAGGGCAGGCCGGCGTAAATCCACAAACGGGTCCAGCGCCGCTTGCAAGGTGGAGCACCTGGGACGACGGAGATTTCTTCCCTCTCAGGAGTCAGGAGTCTCGATTGAGTTTATACCTTGACAGGACTCCTCCAGGAGGCCTCGAGTTGGGCCCTTGAACACGAGATACATAGTAGCAGCTCGCAGACGAATATCCGTATCCGAACATACGGATACACGTAGTGTGTAGATTCGGGTAGACCGTGCAGCTCTACGATAACGACAAGCGAATAAGCTGCCATCGCAGCATCGTAGCATCGCCCCCATCGAACCTCGTGACGATTCAGCACCGTTGAGGGCCGCTTCCACCGTTGAGGCTTTAGAGCCCCCATCCATGAAACTGAAGCCTCCCACAACGGAAACAAACTGCTTTCTCATTCTCGGATGAACCACTCGAGCTGTCGCGTGTTTCGAGCAAGGGGAGAGAGAGTTGACCGGCCGCGTCCAGTTGTAGTATCATCACATTATGCATAGCCATGCGATATATCCGGTTGCGTGTTCAGGAACAAGTAGTTTTGTGTGTCACTTCCCCTTACAAAAGCCTTGTCAGCCTCTGTTCCGACGCAATGATGAGGCACGTCGATATGATGCAGCCAACCCACATTCGAGGATACCAACAAAAGATTAATCGCAGTACTGGGTAGCCTACATTGCCGCCATGTGCTTGAACAGCTGGCAATCCATAGTCGCTGTTTCTTCAATGAAAGCCACCGTTACCTACTGCTTGGAAACCGCATGCCGGGTCCTAATTGGGCCGACCCCATGAACCGTTCTGTGAAGTGGCGAGTGAGATTCACTGCCAGTCGAGCGGTCTTCTTCTCTTTCACCGACGCCGGGTAGCACACCATAGGCACTTCCCGGGTAGAGGGTCTGGGGTTACGCCGCTGCCTCCTCGCTGCAGCTGAAAAGACATGCAAGTCGAGGTCTGAATAAGGGCGGCCGGAGCCAAGTAGGCCTTCATTAGCCAGCAGAGCAAATGGTGTCATAGCTTGCGCCCGGGACCGCGGGTCCAAATATATCTCCCAGCTTCTCACACAGCCGCACAATAGTGTGCTCATAGACTCGCGCTGCGTCCATGTAGAGACGTCCCTCGTCTCTGTCCCACGTCGCGCCCATTGCGTCCTCAAATTCAGTGTCGCTATTCATAGAATTTGCATCTGTCTCATCGTCTTCCGTATCGTTGTCCCCGTCAGGCTTCTTGCTGAGGACCTCCACAATGACCAGTCGTGTCTGTTCCACCGAGCTGCGGCATCGCACCATGTCCGTCGTAGACATGCCGGCTCTCATACCGTTCTCAAAGCCGGGCAAAGTGTCGTTCGTCTCAATATCACGTCCGGTCAGTAGGCTTGCGAAGCAGTGGTCTAGCTTATTCAAGACGGAGAAGCTAGCTTTCGGAGCGGGAGGGAAGGCGTCAATCCACTGCGTGAAGTCGCTGGCAATGTTTAAGAGGAAGGGAATCTGAATGCCCGCTGCAAGGCAGAGTTAGCATCAGTATCGGCGTTTGGCCTAAAGCAACGCCGATATTGGAGAGGAGGGTGCGAGATTCTTACGTGTTCCGGACAACCATAGAACGTCAATGACGTTATGGAGGTCCTTGCAAAGCTCGGTAAAGGTCTTATAGCCTATGACTTGGTCGCCGGGCTCGGGATTGCCATGCTTCTTGACGTAACGGCGATTGACGATGGCGAGCCGTTCCTCAACATATCTACGCACTGTCTCTTCCTTGTTAGATCCGGGTCGAAGTGATCTGGCGCGCGGGTGCGGGAGAGCAGCACTTGAGCGCGCTGAGGCGCTGCTAGGCGCAGGTGAAGGGAGAGATTGAGACGGGAGGAAGCCGCCAGGCCCCGCAGGCTGCGGAGTGTCAGCCATTATCTCCAAGTATTGATGCCGATTGCTTCAGAGGTGGTGCTGCGTTTCGCATAGCCCACGAAGAAACGCCTTCAGCCTGTTATAGACTCTCGCCCCTTCCAGCGGAGCAGCGTCGTGGTGGTGACAGTGTTGTGAGGAACGGCAAGACCATTTTGCCAGAGCAAGCTTCAAAGTATGCTGTAAGCTTTACATAGGTTTCCTTGGAACGCCTCAGGTACGAATAAGGTACCTTAGGTAGGGTAGATAGGGAGGCACTGATAGGGGATTCACGTAAGGTACCTAGTGAGCGCCTGATATGCTCCACCTGCTTGACGGATATATCGAGGTACCTATGCGGGCTTGGGGGGGGGGGGGGGGGTTTAAAAACCCTTTACGGGGCAGGGAAAATTTAAAAAACCAAAAATAAAAAAAAAAATGACCTAAAGAATTTTTTTTTTTTTTTTTTTTTTTTTTTTTTTTTTAAAATTTTTTTTTTTTTTTTTAAAAAAAAAATTTTTTTTAAAAAAAAAAAAAAAAAATTTTTTTTAATTTTTTTAATTTTTTATTTAAAAAAAATTTTTTGTTTTTTTTTTCTTTTTTTATTTAAAACTAGTTTTTTTTTTTTTAAAAAAAAAAATTTTTTTAAATAAAAAACAATAAAAATTTATATAAATATCTTAGAATATTATTTAAAAAAAAATTTAATAACTTAAAATTTAAAAGATTATTTTTATTTTTTTATATACTTCTTATTATATAAATAGAAAGATAAGACCTTATTATTATTTATAAGTCGGTACGGGCGTGGATCCCTTTTGAAAAACCCTATCCCGGGTAGGTAGCCAAGGTGCCTATTGTGGGGTGTCTAAGGTACCTTAGGTCCTACCTTAGGTACCCGCCACCAGAGGTGCCCGCTATCTTATCTTATCTCTGACGGGAAGCAGGTTGCAAATGGGAGGAAGCTATCCAATGTCACTAGCCACAACAATCAGAGTCTGTGGCTAGGTATATTGTGTGGCTTGCGAACGGGTGACGTTCAGTCAAAAATTTCGGCCCTCTACGCTTTCCGCTTGCAGTAGCACTAATCGATCGTGGTATCGAGCACACCTTCGCCCCTTCCTCCAACAACATCGCCGCAGACCACGACTCCAAGCTCGACTCACAAATCATTAATCCTTTGCGTCCTTGAATCCCACTTGTCGCTATGCCCGCCAAGAGAATCGTCGTCCAGAGAGACAGCCCGCGCTCTCGTCAGCCCAAGGGTTACTTCAGGTCAACATACGATGCGTTGACTTCCTCTGAGAATGCACCCATCGTCCGCAGCGTTGCCATCTTTGGCGTAAGTCATCCTGCTCTCCGAGACTATCGATCAGCTTGACTTTGCTAATGCCCGATGCAGGCAGCTGTAACTTTCCTCTCCAGCTCCTGGGGCGAGTTCCTTCTTCCTCCGTGAGCTTTCCCTAGACCGTCTGTTCGATTCCAAGATTGCTAATAGCTCATGTCTGCAGTCAATGATGACTCTTCTATCCCCGAATGACGGTCCATGTATAAATACGTCCTTTTTGCCGCAATAGAAGCTGGCTGTACAATACTTGAAGAAAGATAGCCTCGAGGCTATGGGGAATGGCAGGAATGGCATCTGGAATCTGGTGTTGACTTCAAAGTCACGGCCTGCACCGGCTGGCTTTAATGATCTCACCCTCACGCAACACCTTTTTTGTTGGTCAACCTGGATGCAATTTGTGCCGTGAAAAACACGATCGACAGGAAAGGTGTACGGCGGCTGCTTCAACCCAACATGGACCAGTAGCGTCACCAATGCCGTACGCCTGGCTGATTATTGTCCTCTATCGATTAGAATATGTGCTGACAAGCTGAAAAGGAAGTGCTGCTGTGGCAATCAGTCAGACGGCGTATAGCTGTATTAGACTAAAGTTCATGTACGTAGTAAATCTTCCTCGGCCCTACCGGATGTCACCCTTATCACATCAATTCCGCGTTTGTGCAAGTCCCGTTGCACTTTTGATAAAGTGACATCGCAGCCCAACCGCCACACATCTCTGTCTTGCTACCCCCACAAGGCATATCGCAAGCTCCCCAGAGTCCCTTTTTGGGTTTCCGATCATCTGCTACCGAGTTAGCGCACCAGCATTCTTTGGCATATTCCAGGCCGGCATACTGAAAGCCCTTTCCGTCGCAGTACTTGATGCAAGTATCAACCATCATGCCATCACCAGATGTCTTGGCGCCCTGAAGAGTCCTACCCTGTCCGGACGGGTCGCGGGCACAACCTAGGTACTTATACTTGAGAGTGCTCGTGACGTCCTTATAACCCCATTGAGGTTGCGAGATCTGGGTTGTAGCACCGCAGCCTGATTCTGGCACCGCGTTGCCCGGGCCACGTTGGACGCTGTTGCAACCAGGCAGCTTGTCGAACTCGCCCTGGACTTGCTCGTCAACCTTGACGGGGACTTGGCAATTCCTTCGTGTCTCGTCGTCAAAAAACTGGAAAACTGGACATTTCTCGATGCTACCACCGTTGTCCGTGCATTGTGTGATGGCGGCCTGCAGTACGTTGACGTCCCACCCATTGACGAAATCGCCGTGCAGCCCATATCCAGTCGGATCCCTAGACAGTGTCAGCGGATTTCTGTCTACGAAAGTGAAGGCGAGGTACTGACCCGTTGGACAACACAAACGGCTGCTTATCTCCATACCACTTGTCCTTGAAATCATTGACGCTGAAGATCACCTCGTAGAACAAACTGGCAAACAAATTAGCACCTTGTGTATCCGAGTCCTTCGGGCGTGTCTCACGTAACGAATCTCTTGGGGTGAGTTGTTGGACATTTCCCATTGTCAAGACGATCCGGGTACGCCATATGGCTTTTGTGGTCAGGAGAATCGAGATGAACACCGTCCCAACAGGCAGGAAAGATTATTTGAAGACGGAGCCCATTCGGGCAATTGCGATTGGGAAGCTCGTTGGTCTGAGGACCACTGTTGCCCAAGCACACATATGAGATGGCCCGCTGCTCGAGAGTATTGTTGAAGCTTCGAAGCTTGGGATCACCCGCCAGCATCCGGAAGCCCTTTGGGTACGCGATGAGCCCTTTGCTGTATTCTGGGTCCTTGGCGTCCTGGCGGAACCTGGAGTATTGGTCAGTTTCCCGTTTTCCATTTGCATACTGCCTCACTACTTACAAATAGTAGGCAAGCATTCCCCCTGACTGGGCAACACTGGTAAATTTGCCGTCCTGGCCTTGGTAGTACAGGGTTGGAGTCCAGTAATTGCTCAGGTCGGCAGTCACTTTGCACGTTGAGCAAGTAGCACCGCGAGCCTGCTCATAGGTCATACTGAAATCGAAGCCATTGCCGCCCATGATAGTGTGGACGTGCCCAGAAAGAGCCCCAGGGTTGACAATGGGGTCGGCGCGCTCAACGACCACCGGTTTTGAACAGGGCATGATAAAAAAAGCGGCCGCTTTACTGGTTACCAATAGCCCACCGAGAAGTTGTCTGCTTGCTTTCATGTTGGGCAACTATGGGAGTGGAAAACGACAACGAAGAACCGCCAAGGACGAAAACGAGACGTCAGGCGGAAAGGGGGGGGAGGAGCGACCCAGGCCACCCAAAAATCGATAAAATCGACCACCGATGTCGCGGTCAAAGATCAAGTTCACCCAGAGAAAGGATGGGTGGGGGCTTGAAAACAGACCGGGAGCTAATAGCTCCAAGGGAAGAGCTGAAATACCAGGCATGCAGGCGTACCCGAGAAGAAGCAATAGCGGCAAGGTTAGGAGAAGAGGGCAGGGCAAAGCAGGCCGCGGTGATATTTTATCGTTCCTCTTCATTGCTCACTGCCGAATTCCCCGCCGGGAGATGGAGTACGCTTTTCATCAATGCGGCCGTGACAATACAGAAGGACAAGCCATTATCGTGAACTCGAGCTATGGGCGAAGCAGAGAGACCCGGGAGTGGGGGAACATGACGAGTTGGCTGAGCCTAATCTAAATGCGTGCCTAAATTCGCCAAATGGCCAAGATGGCGTCGACAATTAGCGAAGCTCTGCTCAGCTCTACGGCGGCGTTGGTCGGAGGCGGCTCCGCGCTTCAGTCAGAATGGAGAGGCGGTGTCAAGTAAACCTTACCGGTGAAGCTTGTGGTCCAAAAAGGGAAGCTTCTTCCGCTCAATCGTTCCGCTCGAGCATAGCCTCCGTGTCAGAGTTTACCGCAGTTGTATGAGATTTACCCATTGAAAGCTCAGAGCTTCGGAGGTGGACTGTCTTAGACATGAGGAATCTGGAGTTGAGGACAGGGTCCATCTAATCCGCGATTGCCCCTCACTAGCTATGCAAGCATCCGCCGTCTGGCGAGCTTTCGGGCGAAATGAGGATGGTGTTTGTAAGCCACTGTACCGTGAGCCACCGGATTGGTCTTGGGAGCGGCTTTTCAAGACTCAAACGGGGCGCGGACGAAGTGTGGATCGTAGGAAAGTTGGATGAGTGGAGGCTAATGAAGAAGTGAAAAAGAAAGGGATGTTGGACGGCCGAGCGGCAAGCTGGGAGTACGCTAAAGCGTCAACGAGAGACATTAAGAGGGCCAGGCTCTCACAATTCTCGCGTTGAGAGATTGGTACTACGGCTTCGATACGTTGTCTCCTTGTCTCAGATAAAATTGACCCGCTCGGCCTGTTACCTGTTCCCGGCATAATTGACGGCGGAGGAATGTTTTCGGATCTATCATTTCCTATTTCCTGGCGTGAAAGCCTGATAAGAGACCACCCGACCAAGTTGGGATTTTCTAAGACAATCAGGTGCTAAAACAACCATCGTACGTCCCTCCAAGTGAACACAGTTTCTGGTCCAAGAATGCTGCCCGATATCCCGACGATTGGGTAGAGACCCGTTGCACCGTGGTGTAGAAGCCTCCGTACCGGAGGTGGGGAAACGGAATCAGCAGCTGGCCGAGTCGGAGGCGCAAGTGGACCTCGCGGGACGGAAGCCGCCTTAATGTCAAGTGCGCTGGGCGTTTGCCAAATCTCCCACCTGTCTTGCCGCCTCTGGATCTTTTCTTTGACCCATGGACCTGACGGTGAGGCTTGAGCTTGAGGATTCCTGCGGCCCCCTCCCCCCCTCCCTTTCCGTGCGCCTCATCCGTCAACATTGCACAATCCTACTCGACTAGCCAAAGTATAGGGTCTGATGAACGGCCAACGCTTAAACAGACTGCATGGGCCTCGTGACTCTTCGAGGCAGGTCACGAGGTAGAGTCATTTTGGTCTGCTGTACGTTCCATTCTCCGTTCACTGCACCTGAAAAGGTACATTCAAGCAGTTCTGCATACTTATTGAGAGGCAGTGAGCACCAAACCAATCTGCCGTCACAGGGTTCGGACGGATTCACCCGTTGCGTCGGTGTGGGCTGGGAATTTCAGGTCGATCTCCTGGTTTCAGCTTCTACCAAGGGACGATGATGTTAGGCTGGCTCTGAATGACGGACTCTGGCCTTGACTTGCCCGTGGAAACGTAAGGCTAATAGTCAAGCAGTATCATAATGCACACGTACCCGTTTTCGATTCAAACAGGGGCTACACGGGAGCATGGCCCATCGCTCTTGAAATTGCACGGGCGATTCTCCTAGCCGATCAGTAAAGAATGAGGGGAAAAAAGAGGAAAGAAAACCGGCTGTCTTTCGCTCTGGTTAGTTCGTTTGGCCAGCTAAGACACGGACTGCGAGAGTCCAAGAGGACAACGAGTTACGCAGCCTAGAGCGAGCTGCCACGGCTGTTGCCTGTGACTGACTACCTTATGATACATCGTGCCATAGCCCAATATCTTCCTCATCCAGACATTCTCGGGCCTTGTGATATGTGAAAAGCGATATGATTAGTACTCATTGTTCCCTTCGCAATGGACATTTACATTGCCGTTGCAGGTTTTTTGGTTTTTTTTTCGTGCGATACTCTGGCAGTCCAATTCAACTGATATATTCTTAAGAAGGGCAACTTCCATCTATTTCGGTCATTTGAACTGCGAGCAGTTTACTTCATTCCTTACTGTCATACAGCTTGTTGGGGCAGTCCCCGTGTGGAACTTTCGTCTCACGCTTCGTCGTCTTACGCTTCGTATTCTTCACTGCTAAGTGTCATCCCAAACTCACATATCATCTTTATATTATCAATCTCAACATAATCTGGGAGTCTATGTAGAATGGCTGCTCGCGGATTACATGTAGCGTTGTGAACAGATGCTCAAACGTCGCTGAATTGCTATTTGTCTCATTATTATAGGTGGGAGTAAGTAGCGCGTCGGGCAGTCCAATTCCATTTGTGAGTAATATCGCCATTATCTCTGAAAGGGCCGACTCTTGACTTTTCTAGTGGCGCTGCAAACATGGCCGAGTTCAATCCCTTTGACCAAATTTTCGTACTGAAGACGTCCCTCGATACGGCCGAGGACACAGATTTGGCCCTGAGCCCGATGATCATTGACGCCCTTTACAAGCAGGACATTGCCACATGCGCTAACTACAGCTCCCAAATTGGTGCAAGCTTCATGTTGCTGCTTATCATTATTGCCATGACGCCTTCAGTGAGGCTCATCAAGGCTTCCCTGTGGGTTCACATTACTGCCCTCGTCGTCAACACGGTCCGCATGACGCTCATGGTAGTATTCTTCACTACACCCAACTGGACCAACTTTTATACGCGCTTCACATCAAACTACTCCCGCGTCACAGCGGCTGACTCCCATCTGAGCATTGCGACGGAGGCGATCTCCCTGACCTTACACACCCTTGTCCAGGTGTCGCTGGGCATGCAGGCATGGGCTCTTGTCAAACTGCTGCCGAGGCGCTGGAAATGGAGGTTTACTGGAATCTCTTGCTTTGTGTCAGCATCTGCCATTGGGCTGCGTCTTGGACTCAGCATCATCAAGACCGATGCTATTTTGATACTTTCGCCCGCACGTCCCATATGGGTAGCCAAAGGCAGCGGTGTTGTCGGGGCAATCTCTATTGCCTACTACTGCGCGCTATTCAATATCAGGCTGCTCATACACCTTGTAAAGAACCGCGGCATCCTCCCATCGAGGCAACGGCTAAACGCGATGGAAGTTCTGATCATCACGAATGGGATTTTGATGATTATACCTGGTTCGTGATCTTGCGCAACACTTTCCTCGCACACGTCATACTTACCCGACTCAATAATTTCCTAGTTATCTTCGCTGCCTTGAACTGGGGCCCATGGTCGAGCCTTGAACTGAGCTCTTTAACGTACACGTCGGTCGTTGTCTTCCTGCCGCTAGGAACCTTGATCGCTTCCAGGGCCTCGGCAAGCACGTCGCGGGGGGAGCCGCAACCGACTTGTTGTACGGTACATCCAGCTGCACCTCTTAAGGCAGCTCCAACCATTGAAATGCCGTCTAATGTCTATGGAAGCGTGCAAGGCGCCGTCACGTCGTACATCGCGTCCAGTCGTTCCCGCCAACGTGGCCAGACTGACGCCATCGATTTAATCGACGTTGAGTTGCAACAAATCGATGGAAATGACCTTGAAAAGGGATTCATCAGGGTTGACAGAGAGGTGGAGTTCTATGAAGAGCGTATCTGAACCAGCGACGCCGAGTTTATCGCATGTCTCTCGTGGAGAGAAGAGGCAAGGGTGGTTGTGTGCTAGGAACCGGATACTCGCTCACCTTCCCATCACCACATGATTCGGTTTTCTCTCATCACTCACCTACCACTGCTTGTTACCCCTTGCTTATGGCATCGCCAATCTATTAATCGTAATTTCATCCCAGGATAGACTGGGTGAGGTCATGCCCGGCTAGGTCATTAGCTCGTCACAAGCTCCTCCACGTTACTTCTTAAAAACATCTACTCTTCGTGAGCAAAAATATGTCCGGTGGCCTCGACTTATTGCATTGCCTTTACCACGCTTAATACTTCCGCTTCGTGAGCATGTACCTACTTGCTCCTGTCTACGTCATACATAGGAAATACCTACCGAGGTCAAGTCAATATTTTCACGTACATTCGGGATACAACGCCTTCCATTCACTCCTCGGCCCCCTAAGACCCCCGGACCAGCTATGGCATAAGTAGCGACATTCTATAGCCTCATAAGAAGCCCTCAAATTCATCCCAGGTACCTTCCCATCTAATCCGCATGACCCGAGTCGGATGGAAGGCGCGGCTATGTCATTCAAGGCAGCAAGAGGAGGCTGAAGAACATGTCCAAGGTCCTCCTGCCTCATATCAGACTTATCACCTAGGAACTAGTAGTGTTCTGACTCTATGGACCATCGCTCGAAAACAGAAATCCCCCCGTCACCGGGAAGGTAGGTACACGAATGGGAGTATCTAGCGGCCAACTGCTTCACTCCAACATCCAATCCAGTCATGGTAAAGTATGATTCTGCTTCCATCACCCTCCTCTCCGTACCAAAATACACTCTCTCTTGGCCATTCTATGGTTTTAACATCGCCTTGTCGTTCGTTGCTGTACGAATCGTTGTCGTTCTCTTCACGGCCGCGCTTCAATGGAGAGCCCACCGGCTTCACTTATCCAGGCACGATATTCGCCGCAGAGAGACTTCGCTCGAGAAGATATGAAGCCTGCACCTCTTCGATTCTCTCCGAAGAGCAAAGAGTTGAGTGAAAAGCCAGGTATCGCACAACAGGAACTGGGTGCAAGCACCGTCGAGAATGCAACACTTGTCGATGGCTCCTCCACAATTGAGAGAGCCACCAGCCAACCGCCTACTCACTCGATACAGCTGAAGGACCCGCACTTGGCTGCCATCGTATCAAAGTTCGAGATACTTGATATCATGACCGATCTCGAGAGACAAGCTACTGGTAGCCATGGGAGACCGGCCATAGAAGCGACTTGTTCGCCAGCTAGGAACAGCATTATCCGGAACGAACTTGGTGTCTGCGTCCACATTGACCATGCAAAAGAATGTACTTTTGGACTGGTTCACGACGAAGGTGGTGAGCTGCAACCGACCCAAAGCTCAAACCAGATCTCACCCTGCAGAATATCGTCAGAGGGACCCCAGGATTCTTCAGATACTAGAACAAAACCAGCTTCTGAACCGATCACTTACGTCTTTGATGCATTTACTGGAGAGAGGCGTGCCAACAAAGCTAGAAGATCGGCCGAAGGAAGACAGAAAAGTCTTGTAGCTGAAAGACGACAGATATTTGAAGCCGCGATGGGTAAAATTAACCACCGAAGTTCTGTTGCTTTGTACGAGGTACTGACAATGTATACAGATGGCGTTGGTATCCTGCCTGGAAAATCGGTGCTGCCGCTGCCAACTTGTGGCAACAACGGTATCCGGCCACAAACACCGTCGCCATACTATACACTTCCCCGGGTCAAGACCTGGAAGACGAGGCCAAACGAGAGCGAAGCTCTTGGAGATAGCTTTCAAGCTCAAGCAGAGCCATCTTTGAGCCCAAGGCCTGTCAACGATCGGAACGAAACGAAGGCATTAGTGGAAGGAACTTGGACTCGGAGCATTTCAAAGAGCCTTGGATACAACCTTGGCCGCAGAACCCGTCCGACTCGCGAGGAAACACAAAGGGAGTATGCCGCCGTCTCCAGAGGACAGAGGGGTAGAGAGAAACTCTTCGGGTTATGGGCCCGAGCTATGGATGTCCTCCATTCACGAGACTCTTTGAACTCGGCGCCGGAAGGTGTAATGCCGGAGTCACAGGGTCGGCCTATGATGCATGTAGCGCCTGAGATCGTCATTCCTGTAAGCAGGAAGAGGATAAATTTGCTGGATCCAGAAACAGAGTCTTCCATATCTCCGGACAAGCCGCATTTAAGACACACAGCCTCCATCACAGTGCTGCCGGAATCATCCAGCAATATTGCTGGCATGACAGGGCAAAGCAAAGTCGCAAGTCTGCGAAGGTTGTTCGACAAGGGCGCCAACGATGCGGGGCTGAAAAGCGGTTCGCGACTGAGGCGTAGTCATACTGGGCCTCCAAAGAAATTGTCAGCTAGTGGTGAGTCGCAGAATACCCCTTGGTCTGATCATGATCAACAATTGAAAGATGGAGCATCGACGAATGGTGCTGCACGCCATTCTTTCCAATCATTGGCGGACGCCCGCACCTCCAAAGTATCGACTCGTTCGTCTTTGAAGAATCGAATCGATAATCCAGAGTCCATCTGCCGGATTAATATGAAAACTAGGCCCTTGAAAGATAGAAGGATCCAGACATCGCCATCGAAGAAGCCCGAAACAGACTGCGAGGCAAATGGTTCAAAGGGCCATGCTGAAAATCGATTTGAAAGCCTGGGTTTCAAGCGGGGTCGCGAAGTGTGGCGGAAGATATCGGCATCCTGGGACAAAGACAGGTCAGAAGAGGGCAACAGAAACGAGAGAGACCACTCGAAAGAGACACTGGACAAGTCACGAGAGCAGCCTACCTGGCAAGGATCCTGCCCGAGTACTGCCCGGACTGATGACATACGGCTGGCCAACAGCTCGCCGGATAAGGGTGATCCTTGAAGCCTGATTACTTCTGCGCCCATGAGGGTCAACTCCATCTCAACTCGAAAGAGCATGTCGGCAATTCCCCAGGAGTGTCTGAGCACCGGAATCAGTCTTAACGGTTGTTCAGAGGAACAGCAGGGAACCCTGCCACTGAGTACGACTGGTCCAGTCAACAATTCTAATTGGTGGCGACTCGGGCCATCATCCTCCCATCCAGCTTGGAAGACTCGGTGGGACTCTCTGTCTGGGAACGCTCATGGGATAAGCTGGAGTCGATGGCGCGCACCGCGAGGCAGAGGATTTGTGAAGACCGGTGCCGAATGCCAAACTTACCATCCTCAACCATTGCCTTCCGTGCAACTGGGTGAGATGTGCATAGCTGCTAATCGACAAAGGGAAATGAACACAAATAGCAGCAAATGATTCGAGGTCAAAAGGGCTGTTCAACAACACTGAGCCCCTAGCATAGCGTTTTTTTTTGATGTCTAAGCGTAGTGCACAACAGCGTTTGTGGTCTACCGGTTGGGTAGGCCTGGAGGTTGGATGCCTCGAGGCTGGGGAGTATCTAGTACTAGAAACAGCCAGCAGAGGAATGGTCAGGCACATAGAGAATAGTCTCAATGAGATCTTGGTCTGCGAAAGTACTTAGCGTACTGATTCCTCATGGATATTAGAATGTCACGCGTCTACTCGACTAGGCTGTCAGCCCCATTCCTTTTCCTATTTTGCGAACCAAAGCTTTCTTCAAATACCACTCCCGAGCAAGGGAGCGTGTCGTCTTAGCAAATACTGTGGGTGATATCCTGCCGCGTTCCACAGCTCGGCCCAAGACAAAAATAGTGTCCCCGATGGCCTTCTCCTCGGCCACCAAGGCGTATAATTGGTTAGCTACGACGGTCGGCGCCACCAAAAGCTCGTCAATGTCAGGCGCAGTCTGTCGTGTTGATCCCTCGATAACAGAGTCGGCCCTTCGCAGCGCTTCGATTAGGATACTAGCATTGGACTGAAGCAAGCCTGATGTTTGATTGAGTGCCCCCATCTCCGACTGAAGAGTCGAGAAGGCGGATATCATAGCTGTACGTTGCGCCTGCAAGCCTGCCATGCTAGAGTCATTCTGTTGTCTACTACGTTGACGAAGGGAGTAGAGCGTCTGAGCCATTTGGTGAAGCAACGCGTCCTTCTCCGGATTCGGAGGAATCGGTGGCGCGGAAACTGATGATGGCGAAGGTATGCTCAGAGTGAGAGGCTCATCAAGCAAATCTAGCGGCGGTGCCGGCTTTGCTATCTGCTGTAGTGGATGCGGCGGCGGTGACTGATGCTGCCCGGCCGGTTGCCAACCAGGAGGCGGTCCCCCGTATTGCTGAGACGTTTGTTGGTAAGGCGTAAGGACGGCGGAATGGCGGGGAGCAACAGATTGAGGAGGTTGTCCGGAGCGGAATTGCTGTTGCTGTGCGGTGTCCCCGGTAGGATGTGTAGATGCTGGCGGCGGTGGGTAAGAGGACGGCACGGGTGGTAGCGGCGGTGCTGAGTCGTAACGAGCATACATTTGACTTTGTGGACGACTTGGCTCTTGGAAGTTGAGGTCCCCATGAATGATTTGACGGTTCGCACTAGGGGGTAAAGGTGGGGGAGGGGGGCCGTGTCTGGCATCCGCGGGCGGTGGTGGGCTTCTGTGTGGTTCAGTGCTCGATGTTTTTGGCGGCGGAGGCGGAGGCCGTGATGCACCAGTAGGTGTTTGGGTAGGCGGGCGACTGGATGAACCAGCTGCCAACTCACGTGGAATAGGCGGAACAGGGGGTGGCGTCTGGACGTGCGAATGCGACGGAGGCGGTGCCGCCGGGGTTGATTGTAGCTGTCGACCTTGTTGCCGGGCAATGACTGGCGGCTCCTTGGCGAAGACATCTCTCAAGATGGCCAGAAAGTCAAGTATTGTAGATTTCTACCAGGTTGACCGTTAGAATGGAAGCATTACTCTCAGGGCGGGGGAGAAGAGTGTGAAGACGCACATCCCAGAAGGTAGCCCAGCCTACAAGATATGGGTGGTAGACCTGGCCTTGAGGATCTACATGCTGACCAGGCCGCACAATCATAGACTCTGTTGGAGTGACATAAACCAATGGAGCTTCTCGTGGGTAGGCATGAGGAACCCAGATGGATATGGGAAAGCGGTAGGTGGTGCCCCTGAAAATGACGGGTATAGTACCAGATAGGCGGAGAAGAAGGGCTGACGAGCCATTGTCGTAAGCTAACAACTGTATCAGCACACATTCTGGAAGGGTTCATGGTCGCGATCGAGGACGCGTACTATGAACGTCGGTGCGCGGTGCCAAAGATGGGTAATGGGAGAGCGCCTGGGCGACATCGTTGTAGGTGCGGTTCACATCATGATATTCCTAAGACAGGGCCGCGCATCAGTCGAGCACAACAAAGCCAAGAGATAACGATAACGTACGCTTGTCAAAATACTGTAAAGCCAGTTCAGGACATGTTGCGGCACGGGCATCGCAGAGACGGGGATAGGGCTCCGGTACGGGAGAGCCGATACGGAGCTCGGGCAGCAGGTGAGTGAGTGGAAATGGAAGCGGATGCGCGAGGTAAAGGCGACGCAGATTCAGCTCATAAGTGCATGGCGGGGTCCCTAGGAGTAGAGCAGGGCGTGGTGCTGCAGCGGTGTCCAATAGCAAGGCTGTTTTAAGAATTGGTCAGGCGATCAGCAACGCGATACGTCGGACGGCGGGAGCGGACGGCGCCGGTGAATGCTTTCGCGGACAACCTCAAACGTGCAGTAGGTGCATTGGAGCGGTGGGATTGAAGTTCGGAGATCGGTGGTTGGGCGCCGGTGGTGGATGGCATGACGCAGCGTAGCTGGGAAAGGTGGGGCCGTCCTGAAGGTCTCCTCGCCGCCGCCAGTCAAATTGCACGTCCGTCGAGGGCCCGACCACTTTGTCCATGTAGCAGCCCTAAAGGTACAGAGTAGGTAGGTTGGTGTTCGATATCTACGAATGACTACATATCCGTAAGCAAGTTGAAATTGACACTCATCAGTGAACCCAGACACTAAAAGGTCAATCATCATCGAACTCGATCGTCACCAGCATGAGTAGCTATGCAGTCCGTCCAATCCAGCACCGGCTCCAAACATATGTCCGCCGCGACCTGCTCTCTAAATCATTCGGCATGGCACCGCTGAGACGGTAGTCGGTTGTCTCGAGGGTTTGTCTTTTGCCCTGGAGAAAATACCCTAAAGAGAGAGCTTGAAAGGGGTTTCAATAACTTTGGTATCGGTTGGGAAATTTGGAAACGCAGTCTGAGATAGTCCAATTGGGACGTAGGCCATTGTTAAGTATTAATTCGTTGGTGATATTTGGATGCACATTTCAATGTGTCTTGCGTACCTCAGGAGATAAAAGTATCAAAATCATGTGCAGGACGGGTTATCAATATCAAGATAGCGGATTGGGCTGACGACGACAACAAAATGTAAGGCAAATCTGAACCTTACCGTACCTTATCCGTACCTCACCTTACCAATAAATACCTTCACGTCGAAGCGTATCCGTAAACTTTTAATCGATGGTCACCGGCATCGGACCCACACGGCTGTTGATTTTTCGAATGTTTTCATGGCGTGTTGGTCGGATGAAAACCCGGCCGAATGCGGAGCGGACCCATTCTGATCCAATGCTGGCAACTTCCTGCTTACCTAGGAATCGGGCGTCTTGAACTCATTTTTCGGGTTGGTCGGATCCAGCTTACAGACAAGTCACGCGAGAATCGAGAGAGAGAGAGAGAGAGAGGGAGGCTCTAGGCGTTTATTTGTCACTGCACGCCCCTCTGGTTCCTATTTCCTTCCATACGCTTTGTAATCTTGATTTGCTCCCAGTCTTGCTTACTTGTCAACACTTCGAAAGCTAGAGGCAGCCTCTAATGAAAACCGGATCCTTACGGTAAATCCCGACGGTTCTCTTCACTTCGCGGGATACCTTACTTCATCGATACATTGGCTTGGTGGCGCCACCATCAACCTAGAGGTATTGGATCAAGGATGTCATGTTCACTCATGGGGTACCACTTGCTCGGGGGCACGTGCCCCGCTAACCCATCGCATGTACCGACCATGTTTCGCATTGGGCGCTTTAACCGCTCCAAGGAGGCACCGCAACCACTTGACTCTACTAGTTTACTGCGTAATGTACGGATTACCAGTTTAGCATCCGTATTGTCCGCAAGCACATTTCTTCACCTGCAAAGAATAAAAAATGTCTCGGGGGGGCGCATAACCCGGCCGAGGGGGCCCGCGACACCACGGCGCGCTCCAGGTTGACGGCGTAACATCCGGATTACCAGTTGACACACCGTTGTGCCCCAAAGCCGATTCCTTCCCCCGCCAAGAATAAAAAATGTCTCGGGGGGGGGGGGGCCTGGAACCCGTTTCTCCTACCCAATCCCACATAGCCGACGGAGACCGCTGCGCGCATTAAATAAAACCACAGGCACACACCTCCCCCTTCCACTAAAGTCAACCACAGTTCTTGTTTCTTTTCATGGTCAACATTGGTTCTTGGGAAACTAACAACAAGTGTTTACGCATAGCTCTCACATCCCGTTGAATGCTTGCTGTTCCAAGGATCTTCCGCACGGCTGAGGAGTATTCCAGCGAATTCTGGATACTCCTTGCGTCAGGACCTTTTTGAATACTGTCTGTTGAATCGCAACCGCAACCGCAATCGCAACCATTCATTGGAGTATCAAGAATACTTCAATCCTCCTAAAAGTTCAGCAATTCGCTCGACCGCGCCTAGGAGAATATCTTTTCAGTAGCAGAAGCAAGACAACCACACGCGCAACGCTCAATCATGCTCCCTCCCATCCCTGAGCTCTCCGACTATGGAATCTCCTCAACCCACGGATTCCTGCCGGATGTTCTCCCGTTGACGCGGCTACCGGATCCCTACTATAACAAGTGGGAGGCCATTGTCGCCAACCTACAGGCACTCGTCCTCAGCCGCCGTCTTCGTCCGGTTGTCGACCGGTTGCCTGTTCTCTCCACCATCGGTCTGGAACACGACGCAGAATGGCGGAGAGCCTACTCTCTGTTGTGCTTCATGGCTCACGCCTACATCTGGGGCGGCGATGAACCATGCGATCAACTGCCGCCTTCCATCACCATTCCCTTTCTGAAGGTTTCCAACCGTCTCGAACTGCCCCCGGTTGCTACTTATGCCGCATTGTGTCTTTGGAACTTCAAGCCTCTTTTTGTCGACGAGGACATTGACAACCTAGAAAACCTTGCCACTCTCAATACCTTCACTGGTTCTCTTGATGAGTCGTGGTTCTACCTCGTCTCTGTCGCTATTGAGGCCCGCGGCGGTCCCATCATCCCCCTTATGTTGGCTGCTGTGGCTGCTGCTCGCCAAGGAGATATCTCGACCGTCACCCAATGCTTGCGCACCTTTGCGGAGCGTCTGACTGACCTCACCATCATCTTGCAGCGTATGCACGAGAGTTGCGATCCCAACATCTTTTACAACCGTATCCGCACCTTTCTTGCTGGGAGCAAGAATATGGCCGAAGCCGGTCTTCCTGACGGGGTCAATTACAACGATGGTTCCGGAAAGGAGGATTACCGTCAGTACAGCGGTGGCAGCAATGCCCAGAGCAGTCTGATACAGTTTTTTGATGTCATTCTTGGCATTGATCACCGTCCGACCGGCGAGAAGCGGGATCCTTCAACCGAGTCGGAGCGTGAATCCCGGGCTCCAGTCCCGAAGCACAACTTTATCACAGAGATGCGCCGGTACATGCCCGGACCCCATGCTCGATTCCTCAAGGATGTCTCTGGCATCGCAAACATCCGCGACTTTGTCGAGACTCAAAAGGGTGAACGCGACTTGTGCCTTGCCTATGATGCTTGTCTCGCCATGCTCAGTGCATTCCGCGATAAACACATAGCCATCGTCACCCGCTACATCATCCTCCCCTCACGCGAGGTGCGTGCCCGCAGCAGGTCGAGAAGTCCTGAGGCAGCGCGCCTGCGTCTCAACCTGGCCACGGCCTCGCGCCAACGCCAGTCCAACGCGCAAGGTAACAACTTGCAGGCCACCGATGGCAAGAAGAACTTGAAGGGTACAGGTGGTACTGCTCTCATCCCGTTCTTGAAACAGGCGCGCGATGAGACCGGTGAGCCAGCGATCGAGGAGTGGACCCGCCGCTTCATGCGGAGAACGGTCAAATCCGAGGGTACCGGCGACTTCTTCTTGGGCAAACCAGATGAGTCGGGCCACACCGTTGAAGTTGGAGTTGGAGGATTGGCGGGAACGTGGACTATCGATGACGACTTCGGTGGCATCTGCCATTACTGATGTAGATATCAGTGCTGCTTGGTAGGCTTGGACGTTTGCGGTACTGGCGTGAAACCCAACGCGCAACACATGCCTAGAGGCATGTCCAGACCCCCTTTGGTATATTACTTCGTACTAGAATATTTGACTCCTTGGGACTTTGACATTCATGCTCGACGGCCTGGTTTGCCCACGACTATAGCAGGCTTCATGTTTGCTGCTTGCTTGTATCTGTGCATGGTGATGGCTGTCGGACAGCTTCGTGTTGTTGTTTGCTTTCAAGAAATAACGGGGCCCAAATCACCGGACCTAAATAACTGGGCCTCAATTGGCAACTGTTTTGACGATCAAGGAGGGAGTTGGTAACACTTGTCATGGCTGGGAACTCCCTGTACAGTGAGTATTAGGAGCCCAGACATGAAATCTTCAGTACTGCCGTCAAACTTGCCAACGGCGCTGCCGTGCGTCTTGCCTGAAAGGACGGTGCCCAACTACCTTGGAACACCACCGAAACCATAAATAATTTTTGGCTCGAAAATTACCGGATGACAAGCTTTCTTGTATGGATCGACTACATCATCATGACCTTGCTTTTGTGTTGGTTGAGCCAAGTTGGGTCCTTTCTTGGCTTTAATGAAGGAACTAGTAGCTGACTTTACTGGTTCACCACTCCCAGCCGCGGCCAGCAAGGGCAGACAAGGCAAGGTCATGGCCGCGGCGAGGCCAAGCCTGTCAGTTCGCCTGACGGGCCGAGGAGAAAGCCCTGATGAACTGTCCTGACATGGAATACGAAGGTTGCACCGTGAGACCAGGCGCTCAATACGCCCAGCTCTATGGTTACTTAGCCATTGCTTTCTGCAAACCATGGCGAGAAATAGTGGGCTTGCGTAGCACGAAGGTATCAATTCTCGAGATTTGTGTCACGTATTCCACGAGTCGACTGTAACCAGAGCACAAACCGGGAATACGAACACAGGAGTCTCGAGCGCTCGAGTTGGCGGCTGGTTAGAATCAGAAATGGGAGTTAGGCGAGGTACATTACATTCACTGTCTGTTCGATATTCTCTACCCTCGCCCCCACCCGCCAGCTTCGAACGCTGGTGGTAGTGCAAGAGCTTGCGATCTCACCCGCTCACCTAGGGAGGTAAGAAAGGGAATTAGA